TTCAGCAGCGGCTTGATACAGGTTATTAGATGCTTCTTTTTTTTCCAATTTGCTGAATTTTTGTTCCAGAGCTACAGGGAGGGGATAAATTTGGGGTTCGGGAGCACAGAGCATCCCTGCGTGCATTTAAATCCCTCACCTGGATGGAAGCTGTGGGCATGGAGCGGGGAAATCCGCAGGGTTTTTTTCTCTAGCACGGAAGAAAAAAAGCTGCGCCGTGGAAGCCGGTTGCTCAGGGGGAGCTGCTTTGTCCTCCCCCAGCAGCTCCTGGATGCTGGAAACGCCAGGCTCGGCAGCGGTGTCCCCACCAGTTTGGACTGGGAAGCTGGCGTGGAAAAAATCCATTTTCCCTTGAGCGTGCTCAGGGCGAGGTGGGAGCCTGCGGAGCGGGGCGCTGGGGCCGCCTTGCAAAGCCCTGCTCCCTGGGACTCCCCGCTCCGGCTCAACCCAGGCTGTGGGTCCCACTTTGGGGTCCTGGTGACCCCAAGCTCTCCCCTTGCTGCCGCGTCCCCTCTCGCATAGGATACCCCTGCAGATAACAAGTGGATTTTTCTTTTTTTTTTTTTTTCTTTTTTTTATCTTGCAGCCCTGTAGTTACCAGGGCACAAGGGATTCAGTCCTGTCTGGTGCATGGGTTCCTCATTCCTTGGGTGCCAGACAAAAGCGCCTTTGATTTATTTCCATTTACAAAGACGTTGCCTCACTGGGCAGCAATGCTTCCCCCTACCGAGGCCATGAACTGTGTCCGCCTGTAATACTCTGGACGCGCTTTTTTGGGATGGAAAAGCGCGTTATTTCCCCCAAGCCTGGTGTATTTGGGGGTATTTTTGGATGATCAGGTTTCCTTGTTCATCCCCACTTGTTTTTCTGGGGTTTTTCCCCCTTTTTTCGTCTTCCTCACCTGCCCCTTTACTCCAAAATGCACCAAGCTGCAGCCTGGGGCAGGAATAATTTGGGTTTGGGGGTTGGGAGTGGGAGCGACACGCTGCATCTGTTAAACCCTGTTCAAAACCAAACATTTGGAGAGGAAAAAATTAAAATAGCCTTTTGTTCTTGCTTGGAAAACATTTGCTGCAAACTGTGGAAGGGCCAAAGCACAGGTCGCGGTGTCATTGTGGTGATGGTCCCATCGGCGTCCCCAGGGCTCAGTGCTGGGGCCGGGCTGGTTTAACCTCTTCATCCATGACCTGGGTGAGGGCATCGGGGGCACCCTCAGCCAGTTTGCAGGTGACACCGAGCTGGGTGGGAGGGTGGATGTGCTGGGGGGCAGGGGGCTTTGCAGGGGAACTGGCCC